TGCGTATGTGTGTGTGTGTGTGTGTGTGTGTGTGTGTGTGTGTGTGTGAGAGAGAGAGAGACTCAGAGAGAGAGAGAGAGAGAGAGAGAGAGAGAGAGAGAGAGAGAGAGAGAGAGAGAGAGAGAGAGAGAGAGACTGGACATGGCATCGCATGCCACGTGGCATCACCGGCATGTGGGATGCCACATCTCTCTCTTTTTTTCTCTCTCTCTCTCTCTCTCTCTCTCTCTCTCTCTGTCACGTGGACGCCGTGAAGCATCTCAGGAGTAAGAAGGAGCCAAAGATGGAACCAGACAGGATATACTCAAGACAACAAGCGAGAAGGACAGCATGGACAAATGAAGAGGTGAGAATCTGGAGCAAACAGTTTGACGGGTTGGTTCTATCGCCGATCGATAGGAACCAGGGGGACACATCGGTGATCTGCCCGATACTGTATAGACATGGGTTCGCAGGTACAGTGGACACAGAGGAGGAGATACTCAAACGGAGCAAGGAGGATTTTCTGAAGAGCGGTCTGATGAGCATTGGAAAATGGCGACCAGATGGACGCTTAGGGACAGCATACACCATTCCGAAACATAAGGATCTCACTCGCTGGAGGTCGATAGCACCGGCCGCGGCAGATCCAGCCGCACTGGCTCAGCGAAGAGTCGCCCGGGCCTTGCATCAGCTCCTGAAGAGATTGCCGGCTAACAACACTTTCTACCTCGATTCTATCTCGGAGTTGGCCGAAAAGCTGGAGGGGACGACGCAACGTCTCAGATCAGCAGGATGCGACTCAGCAGTGGGACGATGCTATGACATAAAAGAAATGTTTTCTCGGATACCGCACGGAGCGGTGTTACAGGCAGTGCACCAGCTGCTGAGGATCTACGAGGATCAAGGCTGCAAACAGATCAGAGTGTCAACTAGGGGGAAGCTATGCATTATCAGCGAGAACAAGAGGAAGATGGATGGGTATGTAAGTTTGACACTGAAGCAGATCATGGAAGGAGTGAAGTTTGACCTGCGGAATTCGGTGGTGAGAAGCGGCACCAAGCTAATCAGACAAGTTTTTGGTATACCAATGGGGAAGTCTACCAGCCCAATCCTGGCTTCGATCACCTGCGCCATGGCCGAACTGAAATTCGTTAGCGAACTCAGGGCCGACAGGAAACTAGTTGGCAGATGGCGCATTATGGATGACATCACGATCGTGGTGGGGAACTCGACGCAGTGGGAAAAGGATGAGTACCCTGAGAACCTGTTCGAGGCATTCGAAGGTATTTACGATACGAACCTTGAGATCATCCGGAAGGATCGATGCGGACTGACATGGCAGTTTATTGGGGGGCAGATGATGATATGCACAGCACCGCTACAGATTCATTATGTGCCAACGACGAAGAATACAGACTCACGGTTTGAGACTGGGAGTTTGACTTTTCAGACGATGCAGGACTACAACAGTTACTCCTATACCGCGAAATGCGTGAAAAAGGCGGTACTGACAACGACGCTGAAGAGACTGTGGAGCCAGACCACGAGTCAAACGCTGGTACTTGGAGCGATAGGCTACGCGGGATACGAGGCCGACCTCCGGAGATACCCCCCGGAGGTCTCTCTCGGAGCCCTGGCCAATTTGGCCAAGGCTGTGCCGAACGAAGCACTTCAGAGCATGTTGACGGCAAGGGCAGCTATAGCCTCATGGAAAAGGGGATAGGTAGAAGGGTGTTGCGAGCGGCGGAACACAAAGAGGGATAGATAGTCAGGGAAGAAGGGGGGGAAATTATCTCCCATGGAGAATTTGCGGGATAGGTAATTTTCAGACAGTCCTTTTGGTCTTGGTTCCGGCGGGTTTTTTTTCAGCACGTTAAATTTCAGACAGTTCGGTTGGGCTGGTTTTCAATTTTCCTTTTATTTTCAACATTTTAATTTTCAGACAGTGCTTGTGGGCTGTTTTTCGGCGTTTTTCCTTTTATTTTATTTGATTTTCAGCATTTTTAATTTTCCTCTTGCTTTCGGCTTTCAATTTCGTTTTGACATGTGTCGTCGGCTATCCGGTATTTAATTTTAGGAAGCTCCGATCCCAGCTCTTGGAAAAGAGACARTTTTCAGCAAGTGGCTACATAGTAGTAGAAATGGCCGATGAAGCAGTAATTTCCGGGAAAAGATAGAAAATAGTAGTGGGGCCGATCTGCAGCAGCGGCCATTCGATATTTTGGATGGATCAGACACGGAAGTAGAGCTACATGAATTCGAGGGAAGTAGGATAGCATGAGCCGAAGGGAGAAAGATCATCAGGGGAGACCGACCGGGATATTTTAAAAATGAAGGTACCAGGCCAGGATACAGAGCTTATACAGAGGACAAGGGTTTTTTTTTGGAACGAAGGGCGAAACGCCATTCCGAGTCTTGAACGGCGAGCAGGCAGGTATCTAATTTTAAATCTTGGACGAAGGGAATACCGTTCTTGCCGACGGTGACAGAGGTAGAAGGGATGAGGCGAAGAACGAAGGAAACTTATATATATGAGGAGGCAAGGCTTAGAGCCTCCTTTTTGAGCACGAAGACTCTGTCTGAGAGTCACCCTCCTGATGATCCCGTGTGGGCGGGTGAAACCGGTTGGGGGATCCACATGTTTGCTCTTTTCTGCAGTTTTGTAATGCTACCTCACACGTAACTTGGTCTGACATGAGTTCGGTCTGTTCGAGTGTGAGTTTTGCTGGGGCTGCACGGACTGTTTCGCCGCAGTCTGCCATCATCTGCCATCTCTCTCCGTGTGTGTGTGTGTGTGTGTGTGTGTGTGTGTGTGTGTGTGTGTTGCACGCTACGGTTCACGCCATGGTACACAAAGGTGTGGTCTCGCCTCAACAACACACTCAAAACAACCACTGACCCGACAAAAAATGTGCAGATCACGAATGCGTTCAAACAAACATGGCTTGACCCAGCCCAAAAAATTGGGTCTTTGCAGGGGGACCATAACATGCAGTGGAAGCCATGGTGGACGGACAAACGGGGCTGGCAGTGGAAGGCACTGCCCTCATTTAGCCGACATCCACCGGACCAGCCCGTGATGGTGCCCCCTGTCTTCAGCCAATGCCACCGCAACCCAACAGACTCCCAACAACACAATTCAAATAATACACAAAACACAAACCCACAACTGCCACACACACCGCCCTCGCACCCCCCGCATCCTCCACATCCTCCGCTCCCAAATGACTCCCCACCACCTACCCCCCTACCCCCATCAACTCCACTCTCCTGCCAACCGACCCCTCAAACACCGCCCACGCTGCCAGAAGGTACCCCACCAACGACCCCCCTACCCCCC